TTTGGCAAGTAGTGACCACTTACTATGTGTTTGGCACTGCTTCAGGTGCTGAGAATACCATGATGAATAGGACAGAGTCCCTGCATCTATACGGAACTTACTGTTTTACCGGGGAAGACAGGCAATGCAATTTTCAGGTAGTGATAAATGCAACAAAAATATACAGATCTTGCTTTGTGAACTTGCCTCATTTTCACTACGCCTCACTTTTCTCGTGTACTTACTTTCCTCCCTACTCAACTCAGGTTCTATGCACCATCACGTTCATTGTCCTGCCCATAGACTCAACCCACTTACCCTCTCTCCTGTCTTCATACTTGCCTGGCAAAATCCTAACCTGATTAAATCCAAATCTTTGCCATCTTCACATCTACTCCCAGGTAGCTGAATATGGCTGGAGAAAAACAATAATCCTGACTGGTCTCACTGACTTCTTGGCCACCATTCTCACTGGGTCCTCCTTGCAGCTTCCTGGCAACCATATCACATTCCCTAATCCATCCATCCCCCATTCTTACCAAACTAGCTCACATTTCCTTTCTCCTGAAACTTCCAATAGTCCTCTCCCATAGTCACTCACTGTCAATGATTTTGCTCCTGATTGCACTGAGAAACTTAATGGAATAGACTTCTAAAACTCCCACTACATCTGCCAACCTCACCCAGTGTTGGTACCCATATCCTCCATGTTTCCTCTTACTACTCTGTAGAAACTGTCCATTGTTCCACCTAAGGACAATTCCTCCACGTGTGCACTAGATTCTGTCACCTCTCATCTCCTGTGTTAAACATGGAGATGTGCCAACCAGATCCCCCTTCAAGGAAGGACCTGCTGCCCAGTTGCAGAGCCTGCAGCCAGCAGCCTCCATCTGTCAGCTCCTTCAGGTTCTGCCAAAAGCTGTGGAGTCACTTCACCTGAGGTCATGCTCTTCCTGGGACAGCTTGCATGCAGTGACTGAGCAAGGTTAGAGTATAAAAGCCCAGCCAGGCAGGACACTCAGGAGAGCAGTACTCACTGCAGAGCTCCCTCAGGGCTGGCTGAGGCTTTGTCAAGTCTGATTCACAGTTGGACTTCATCCTCTGTCCAATCCTGCTTCCTCCACCCTTCCTTTCACGGGTACTGATCCCTAATAAATATCTGGCGCCTCAAATTCTGCTTCAGCATCTGTTTACAAAGAACCCAACTTGACATACCTACTGTATAGGTCACTCAGCTCCAGCCATTGCCCCTCCGTCTTTCATCAATTTCCCCCTCCCTACTGATTCATTCCTATCATCCCATAAACATACAGTAACATCTTCCTTCTTAAACACCAAACTCCCTTTGAGCTAACTGCTCCACGTCTCTGCTCCCCTGCACAACAAAATTCCTGAAAACAGTGTCTAAATCCATTCCCTGCCTACCCGTCTCTCTGGATCCCCACCCCTGGCACCTTCATACTCACCACCCACAGAAATAGCTGCTGTCACTGTCACTGATTACCCATCGTTGTTGTATCACGTGGTCAATTCTCAGCTCTCATCTCACCTGACCTTCCAGCAGCTTCTGAGCCAGTCAGTGACCCTCTCAGTCTCAGACACTGACCCGCCTGGCTTCTGAGACGCCACGTGCACTCGACTCTCCCCCCACTTCACTGGCTCCAGTTGTCTCCTTTGCCCGTTTCTCTTCCTCTCCTGAACCTCTAAACACTGAAGAGCTCCCAGGTGCGACCTTCTCCCTTTCCTCATCTCCACCAGGACCCACTCTGCTAGGGATCTCACCCAGTCTTGTGGTTTTCGATGCCGTCTACATGGGGACAACCGCTAAATGTCTATCTTGAGCTACAGCTTCTTCCTCTGAATGCCAGACTCCTACATCCCGCTGCCTGTTCCGAATCTCCCTTGAGTTGCTAACAGGAATCTCAGACCTTACCTATGTATCTGCAGCAAAACAGCTGACCCCCTTCCTCATCACCCAGTCACCCCCCACCCCCACCCCAAAGCCCTGCTCGCCTTCCCCAACTCCTAAGGTCTTGCCCATCTCAGCAAACAGCTACTTGGTTCTTCTGGTTATTGAACCAAACACCCCAAAAAGTCACCATTAACTTCCCTCTTAGACCCCACATTCAATACTTTCCAGAATTCTTTAGAATATATCCATCTACTGAAGACCTCTTTCCAAATGTCGTGTTAACAAGATCTCCCTTAGTCCTGCTCTCCAGCTTCCTAGCGCTGAGCAGAGTAGGTGCTCAATGCATATATTTGAATAAACAAATTAATAAACATAATGTATATGTTTGAAAGACAGTGGGGAGGGAGGAGCGATGGTGCCGAGGAAGGAGAAGCACTTGAGCCTAGAGCTAAACGACGTGAACGGTACAAATCATTTGACGATTATGAGGGAAAAGCAAGCCTAGCAGGAAAAAAGTTCAGCGGGAAGTGCAAGGTAGGAATGAGCTTGGCGCTGTGGGGAAACAGAAGGAAGGCCTGTGTGGTTGCTAAAGAGACGAGGTCACGACCGTCAGCAACTGGGTCAGGGGGGACCTTATAAACCACTGTATTTTGAATCTTATTCCAAGTATGAGGGGAAGCCATCGGAGAGTTTTACCCAATCTGATTAAAACAGCACCTTGGCCGCTGCGGGGCTAGGAGGTGATGGGGGTGGCGGTGCGGCTGCCGCCTGACCCATGGCAGGCCGCGTGGGAATCCACGCAAAAGACAGGACGGGCTTCGAGCGGCATCGGCGGAGTGGGAGGCGGTATAACATCTGAGGGTCGAAATGACGAGATCTGCTTATGTTTTCGGTAGGTAGGGGCACAAAAAGAAAAGATTCCAAGAAAATGTCCGATTTCGCCCTGCAACCCCGAGTCCATTCGGGCGAACTTATTTTTGTATTTGGACGTATCCTATTTCCGTGAAGCACCATCGCATCAAAGGATCCTCTGGGCGGGTAGTGGCGTAGATGCTGGGGGAAAAAAAATGAAAGGAATCACATACAGAGTATCTGAGGGCGGAGAGATGCTGCGTTCAGTTCTTGAAATGCTTCGTTTAAAAGGTCTGCGGAGCTGGCCCAGAGCGCCGAGAGCAGGGCCGGGCGGCTCGGTACCGCGTCTCCCGTTACAATAAGCACGCGCCATCGCCCCCGCATTTACAGGCCCGGAGTCTGTCCGCGGCCGTTGACGTGACCCTCCAACGTGACAGGCGCGGTCTCCTCAGGGGGCACGTCCCGGGCGCGGCGCAGCGGACCCCGGGTCACCGCCCGCCCGAGCTCGGGGCCTGCATGGGACCGCCCACTTCGTAATTCCCCTCGGGCCTGCGAAACGCCCGAGACGGCGACGCGGTGGTTTGTAAACTTCTCTACGACCCGCGGCCGCCCCGGCCCGGCCCGCGCCACCTCTTTCTCCCCGAACGAGCCTCGGAGACAATGCCCCCTCAGGGCCCCCA